TAGATTGGGAAAACAGTTTAGAAGTGTATAAATCATCATGTGTCACAGAAAGACTTCTGGTTGAAGCAAGTTTGATTAGGGAATGAAATTCTATAAACCTTATTGATGGTCAATACAAAACTGATATGTTACACAAATTTATTTGTCAGTGGCCCAAGAATGAAAATGCTTTGAAAGCATTTGAGTTAGATGTAGGATAGATGATTAGTGGGTCCCATATTTTTGACCTGACTTAACCTGACTAGTTACGCCGCCTTTCTCTCAAGCTCCTTTGTGTGTGGTGGTGTTGGTGTGCGGATTAGTGGAGGTCATGTTTATGACCTGACCTCATGTGTAGTAAGGTCACCCTGTGTACTTAAGCCCCTCTCAGTCCTTGTAATTCAGTTGCCTCTGAAGATGTCTTGAATAAAGACGAAAGCTAAGATACTCCATTGTTTCCTCCCCGGCTTACAACCTACGACTAACTTACGACCTGCCTCAGTCGTATTAAAATTTGGTCAAATTACGCCTTTTTCAAGTCCCAAAGTCAGTACACAAGACAAAATTTTCGTTTGTAATTCACTTTAAAATGGCTGGCAAGCTTAAAAGTGAGAGTTTTGTGCTGCTGAGAAGAAAAAGAGAGACCCATTTTAGATTTTCTATGTACAGTATTATTTAAGCATTTCCGACTTACAACCTGGATTTGGGTCCCTAACCCAGTCGTAAGTTGGGGAGGAGCCGTATTTGGGAAGTAACGTTAACTGTGATGGCAGATGCACGGAAGAAATTAGAACAAGAATATGTCAACCCAAAACAGTATTTAATAATATATAAGAGAAGAATGCTGCTGATAGGCTTTATATGGCAAGGACTGATGTATGGGTCAGAAGCGTGGACACTTTCAACAGATACCAGAAAGAGGTTGGAGGCCTATGAAATGTGGTGTTATAGAAGAATGTTAAGAATAATTTACACTAACAGGAAAACAAAAGTAAAATACTAAGAGTAGCAAAATCTTCAAATTGAGGTAGGAGAGCCAGGGGAAGGTAGAGACTGGGGTGGATGAACGAAATTAAAAACTTGGTCCCCAGAGAGATACAAAACCTTAGAGGATTGGTCAAAACAGCCCGAACGCGTTTAGAGTGGAGGACTGTGGTCGCCAACCCTCAGATATGAGGACCGTACTCTGATTGATATGAAACATTCAACAAATCCCATGTTTAAGAAATAACATGTGTGCTCATCAGTCTTGTAGTTTGTGCAGCTATTATAATAACATTGAATTAATATTCCTATGATGCAATATACAGTAGAACCTCGATAAATCGGACCAATTGGGGCAGACCCCAGTCCGAAAAATGCTTAAGTCCGAGAAAAGCGAATATGGAGGGGTGGGGGGTTAGATAACACTGCTTACCTGAACGGTTTAAAGAAAATCAGTTGTCGTAATGTCATTACTACACTTCAACAACTAAGGTCTTTCAGTATTTAACAAGGTTATTAAAAGAATATTACATCAACAATAGAAAGAAAATAGGAAACAACTCTGTGGGTTGAAAATCAGATATATAAGTCTGGTTGTCACCGAAATGATTGTGATTTACTGTAAAGTGTTATATGTAAGTAACCACAGAATTTGTCCTAGAGAAAACTGTATACGGTACTGTACAGTATTATAAAGATAAAAATAACAACAAATAAGTGTAGAAGTATATTGTACGTGGAAGACAAATGTTCATCTGGGAGCAGCTGGCACAGGTGGGTGGCTCCCAACCCCCAAGATTCCTTTAACATTTCTTTATACAATTTCACCACAATTCTCATATAATTTAGGATCACTTGGTGCCAGGTTGATAAAATATTATCCTAAAAGAATCAACTTTCCTGAAAAAAGAATCCCACACTGAACACCATGAGTCATTGTTTACAAAGAGCAAACAGCTGATTGGCTTACCACAATAAGTACAGTACAGTACTACTATAGTGCATTTATCATCACTTAATAAGTAATATTGTAAAGTATTATGCATCAGCAGACACTTCTGGTTTATTCATTAACCATTTGTCCAAGTCTACTAGTGGCCAAACTGAGTCATCATGCAACACTCAAAGGCAGTAAATAACGTTTTTAAGAAGGCATCTTCCTATCAAATAATATACAGTGTTTTATAGTGACCCTTGTTGTAAGCTGGTCTGTTGAAAGCTCTCACAGGAACACATCTTGAGTAAACAGCCTTATGATGCAGCTTATCCTTTTATTTTCAAGTCATATTACAAATTACATACAGTATTGTATTTTTTCTCAATTACTGAAGATGTTATATTAACCATAAAAGGCCAATCATATGAGATATAATACTGAATTAATCAATAAATAAACCTGATGAATGTGGCAACACCTGATCAGCCCCAGCCTGCTTACATACTCAAGTGTTTTAGTTCTCAGAAGGCCTATGGTATAGCAAATCTTATTAGACCACTGTTCAGTATTCAGTAAGTTGTCTCATTAGATTTTATTTAATCTTCCCCATCTCTTAACACTTTTTCTTTTCCTTTTTTTACTTGGTAACTAGTCCCAAAAAAGCATTTAAATATTGAAGTCCGATTTAAGAAGGTTTTACTGTATTTTATTAAATCTGTACAATGCATAATATAAAATCAATTACTACTTACTAATTTTTGGTACAGTTGAGGTCTAAAGCTGAAACCTCCCACAAAGGAGGACTGATGAGAAGTGTTATAAAAACATTGTCAAGTGCACTGTCCACACTATGTACTGCACGCTGATGTATATCAATTTTATAAAACATTCTGTACATCACTAATGTGTTCTAGGTTGGATGGACCATGAGAAATCAAAACATTCTAGAATGGGACTGGAAACCAGGACTTATGTGGGCAAGATGGAATGTTGATAAATGATTCCTGTGTATTTTTTGCATTATATCCTCTGTCCTCTGAGAGCAAAACAAGTCATCACTAAGATTTTAGGCTCCTACACTGCATGGGATTTAAATAGCATAACTTTTTGCTATATTTACCTAAACCTTCAACACAAGTGTGACATACTTTGGTTATGTGGTTTATCTAAATCACCGGAATCATGTTATTTCGTCGTTGTTTATGCACAACAAAGCACCTGTACATATGTAGTAGAGTCGTTTGGATTTGTTCAAACATCCTGTGAATATTTACAATATAATATATCTTAGTAGAGCAAAACAAGGAGATTTAACACTACATCCATTTGTGTAAAACAACTTGGTTAGGTAGTTCAATAAAAGATTCTTCTTACGACTTGTAATGAGGTTTCAGCATTAATTAGATATTTTTCCTTTCATAATGATCATTCAAGAAATTTACATTGTCTAGAAGAGGGAGAATTCTCACTAATATAAATCACATTCTATCGGGTTCATTGTACCTATTGAATTTACTATTGAACTTAAATAAAAAGAACTGAAGACTTAGTAAATTAAATTAAAACTTAAATGAATATTGTATTATCATTTACTAGCCTCTTATACCACTTATTCACTGGACTGGTATTTAATTATTTCCTTCATTATCTATATTTTATAATATTTATGGGCTCACTGATTTTCACTTCCTGCTAACTCAATTATATTGACTTATTGTCCATTCACATGATACTGTCACCACCAGCCTTGCTCACTCAAGGAATCTCAGAGCATTCTGCGGGAATGCTGCGTATGTTAGGCAAACGATTTCATCTTTACCTAGACTTCACTTTGCTGCTACACGGGTAGTCTTTGCCCCATGTTAGTACCCTTCCGTCATTAGTCTAATTTAACTTTGACATGGACACCCACCTACTCAGTCTGGTGTTTGTTATTGTGGTCGGGTGTGTGCTGGCTCACCCACCAGCACATGGATGTGGGAGTGGTGTACAAACACCCAATATTTTGGGTATAAACTACTATACACTGCAACAGAGTATCTAGGGCAGAATTAATTATCATCACTCCATGGTAAAATTGTCTGTGCACTAAACCAACAACCCTCCCCCATACATGTCAGGCCAGCCACTGTATGCAGAGCGTCTCAACTATTATGGAATCCAATGTCAGTTTATTTTATTTTCATTTACAGTTCAAATTATTTAATGTGAATCTTCCAGGTATCCCAACTTTGGTCCCTGATAAAAATTCTAATTTAGTCCAACAATCTGAAAGGCTGAAGTCATTTATTCGTGTGTCTGACATCTGTAGCGCTATAACCACTCTTTAACAAAAAATTGGTGTGATAAACAATAAATTGATACATAGCACATCATAAAATACAATAACACATATTTGATGTATAAAAAAATAGCTCCTTCCAAACTCAAAGTGATGGCACAGTTTAGCCAGGCAGTCAACCAGCTGACTGATACATGTGTGTGCCGTGATGTCACATGGGAGGGAGGCGGGTGAGTTGGCCACAGTAAGCTCACTTAGTAGCCTTCACATACATTCAGCTCCACCACACACACACACACACACACACCTATACTCTTCATTTGTCTTATTTTATAATTTTATATTATATTTTCTTTATTTCTAAGCTACATTAGAGTATTTTAATTTTTACTCTTTTGTTCTGTAATAAAAATGGTTTCTACTAGGGTGGACTATAATATCCTTAGTGATATAAGTTACATGTTTATTTACATTACCCTGCATCACCACACTGCATCACCACCACCTGTTCATTGAAACCAATTGATAACTTTATATTTACCTTAATTAAGAAAATATAAATAGTTACTAGCTAGTTATTTTTGTTTAATCGACATACAGTATGTAGACTCTGTTAAATGATAGGACTGGATAAATACCTGTATGCCCATGTTTTGCTAATGTTCAAACATAATATCACATGAGAGCTAGTGTATAAATAAGGTGCTTACAAAGTAAATTAAATTTTCTAAGTTTCTAAAAAAGGACAGGAGAAAACTAACCTTTGTGAGCCCACTTGTACTTGGCTCAGACTCCCCATTAACCACTGGACCTTCACTGCCATCTTTGTCTTCTTTAGATTTGTTCATCTTTTTATTCTTCTTCCTGGAAGAAATTAAGGGATTCAATGTTTGAAACAAAAATTGAAACACAGGAAAAGTGACAGTAAATTATAAGTAAGTATGGTGTAGGTGTATAGTCTTAGAGTACCTAGCCAGCTTTGCTTCAACATGCCTGATGATAGACCGGTCAACTATTGTGCCCATCATCTAGTCTCTGCTACACTTTTTGCTTGCCTACACCGAGTGTACCGGGTAAGTGAGTCATAGGTTGGCATTTCTGCTCGATAGCATAGGAGCCTCAACTAATGCCCTGTGAAGATGCTTCAAAATCGTGCACATAAGACCACAGTCAGCTTTAGTGCCATGTTGCACAGGGAAGGGTGTCCCTGAAACTGGTCAGGGTGGGTCACTCCAAGGCCACTGGACTGCTTTTGCTACAGCATGAGACAATGCCTCCACTTGTGGAAGAACAACAACAATAGGCACATGCAGTTCACCTCAAATCCAATGTAACTCAAGACCAAACTCATTCCCTTGTAACATAACCTGTCAATGGTTAATTCATAGACTTACGTACATGAGTGGCCATCTCTGAGCGGTCTATTAGGTAGACCATGGAATGACTTCTCAAAATTCTCTCGGTGTCTAAAATGGCCCAACAAATGGCAATATCTTAGGACGCATCAGCCTGCTTCAGCAAGCTCTGTTCCCCCCCAAAACTCTTTTCTAAGTCATATGATACTGTTATGCAAGGAGTGATAGGGAGATGGAAAGTGAAGCTAGGTGCTCATGAGGGGAAATTGCAGGGCTTTGTTTACTGGGTATTAGCCCCTGTCTAACAGACGGTAATACAGGGGACCCCCAAATTCGCAGACTTTTATTTCGCAGTCCTCTATTATTCGCAGATGACACCCTGGATGTACCTAAGAATGTGTGTGTGTGTGTGGTTTTAAAGTTGCCGGCATTTTCACGGAGGGGACAGGGAGCCATTCGTTCTTTTGACAGTAATTTCCTTTACCTGTACTGTATGTGTGTGTCTACACACACACACACACACACACACACACTGGAATTAGTAGTTTTCAAGGAAATGAGGATTTTACATTTTCCCAGTACCCAGTAACTTAAGATTCCCATGGAAATGAAGGTAAAATTTGCCAGAAACACACCAAATAAAATAGCCAACCATTACTAAACTAAGAAAAAATAATAATGATAATAATAATAACAACACTGCAATAATAATATTATTAGTAATAATAGTAATAATAACAATAATAAAAATAAAAATAATAATAATAATAAAGAACCATAAAGAAATAAAAAATTAAAAAAGATCAAGAGTGAGAAACAATAAAGTCTCTCCTCGACTTACAACATATGCGACTTTCGACAACCCGGACTTAAGATGGTCATTGTCGTTATATTTTATTAAAATATTTTCCATTATTTTCGAGTTCAGACGTTTGGTCGTAATGTCTAACGACTTCGGCTGGCACAGTGCCGCGAGTGTACAGCATCCACGTCGTATCCCACTCAGTTTGTGTATTAAAAAGATAAAAGTCTTAAAATTATTACCTGTACTATGTATTTCTTTCCTAGGTTCGACTTACGACCTGGTAGTCGGAACGGAACCCCGTCGTAAGTGGAGGAGAGACTGTATGTATGTTGTTGTCAATGGTAAGAGAAACAATTGAGGCCCTGCAATTGTGTGTAAATGAGGTCAATAGTCTGATCATCAACCTGGGACTTGGTCACAATATGGCAGCAGGGTCTACCATTAGATAATAAATTATGCTTCCAATATCTTCCCAGGCAGTAGTACCTCCATGTTTGGTAGCTGCCTACTACCTAACTGAATACCGAGTCTTATGGAGAGTTAAAGAAATATAAATAAAAATAATTTATTCTATAACATATCCTTCGAAAATTTTAACTTTTATAATATTTGGCCAATCAGCGTGAGTGTTGATATGACGTAACAGTCGTGCTCCCCAATCAGCACGAGTCCCAATGTGACATAATACTCATGCGCTAATCAGCAGTCGCAGCCAGTTGGAAGATGGCATCTGTGTGAGATGGATGTACAGTCGGGGACAAAATTTCGCTCTCCGTGGTGAAACCGAGTCACGGGAACGAGTCTCCGAACTGACTTACCCTTACTGTTTTATCTCATTTGGGGTCGATGCTGCTTCATTTTGGGCGGGAGCGAACTTTTGACCTCGAATGTACTTTGGCTGGTTGCCGCATTATTCAGCACATTTTAGACAATGAAGCAGCAGCCATTGTCATTTTTAGGGCTCACTGTGTTTATGTAAAGTGTCCAAGATGTAATTCAGAGTGTCAGTACCGTGATAAGACAGACACCACTTCCTCATTCAAGTCACATCATTCTATCCTCCTGTATCTCTTACTTAAGGTAAGTTTCTTTGGGGATGCTCGTTTCGTCATCCCTACTTTACCCATTTCGTCACCCTCGTTCATTCCCATCAATATATAAACGAAAATAACTGTTGCTTGGGATAGAAAATAATAAAAAACACTAATACAATTTATTAAAGACGAAAATAAATAATAAAAACATTATTAATACGCCTGCAATCATCTCACTTAAACAATATGTGAAAGACTAAAATGTACTCATGGAAGCTTGGCAGAAGACAATGACAATTTTTTAGGAAATTAGAAGTGGTGATATTTTTTTTCTTCATATTCATCCCACAGCTTCCAGAGATGGACTTGTTTGTCATGATTTGCTTTTCTTGTGCACAATTTTAGCTTGAGCTCAGCAACTATTTGTAATTGCAAATCAACCATTGAGGCTTCTCTGTGAAGAAGAGGGACAAGGAGATATAGAGCGAGATTGTTCTTTGCTGCTCGGCGCTTTATGCGATGGTGCCATATCACCTTCATATGTTCAGTATTTTGTTTATTTACCAATATTTTAAACGTTTTCTTTATTGAATAATTAATATTCATGTATAATAATAACACAATAATTCTCCAGTCGTCTGTATACATGTGTAATTTCTATTTGTGTAAAATAATAACTTGCAATTTGTCACTAATACCAGCGACTGTTAGTGGTGACGAAACGGATTTGATATTGGTGACGAATTGGGGTTTTGGTGACGAACCGGATTGGTGATGAAATGGGGTGTATCCTTAACTTACACTCTAGGGGTTAGGTTAGTTTTTTTTTTTAGAGGTTTTTACACTGCTTGACTTCCCACTTTTTTTTTTCAATATCTCAACTACTGCTCATTTCCGACGGCAATGAAGATCGTTTTTTGTATTTAACACAATTATTTACACTATAAAAACCCCTTTTCAAAAGTCTGCTCCACCATTACCACCAATTTACCTTGTAAAATTCTTGGTTGACATGTGTGATACCGGTCCGACTAATTACCCAAATGTAGCCGCAATTAAGTCAAATAATGGTCCTACATTAATAAATCGGATTGCCAATCACTTCTCGACTAGTATTTGGTGTCACAAAGTAAAAAAAAATTAGAAAACTTACTTTAATCTGAGTTAATAGATCGCGTGCATGTACCGAGGGAGCGAGGAATTACCCAAATGTAGCCGCAATGAAGTCAAATGATGGTCCTACATTAATAAATCGGGCTGTGAATCACTTCTCGATTATTATTTGGTGTCATAAAGTCACAAAAAATTGGTAAACTTAATTTAATCTCAGTTGTGTTAGGTTAGGTTAAGTTAGGTACATGCACTCGATCTATTAACTCAGATTAAATTAAGATTACCAATTTTTTGTGACTTCCTGACACCAAATAATAATCGAGAAGTAATTAGCAGTCCGATTTATTAATGTAGGACCATTATTTGACTTAATTGCCTCACCTGAAGTTAAACCATCACCAACATTTTAATAACAACTGGTGTCCTTTACCTACAAACTTTATCACACTCATTCCATATAGGTAAATCAACAAATCCCAGGTAACATATATATATACTTAGACATTACTTAAATCATCCTTAATAATAACAACAAACTAGTATCGTCTATAGACCATTTATCCCCATATATCAGACCTACATACACTACAGGATCTATCTCTTTATCATTACAAGTACAAACACACAAATAATAGTTTATAAAAAAATAAAACAAAATGGAAAAATGACTTACGACTTGTTCTGTTGCCCTTGAACAGCATTGAACCCCTGTGAACTGTCGGGAGTCGCCATGTTCACTGACAATATGGAGTGGTGATGGTGAAGTGAGGGCCAGGATGCGCCTCACACCCGGGCCACGGCTACCAGGTCAAACACTTACCTCAGTCTATACCTGGTCAAACACTTACCTCAGTCTATACCTGAAAAGTAGGTTAGTCTCTTATGTTTCTATATTTCATTATATTTTTAGGATTAATGGTCTGGATGTAGGTGTTAGAGCAGTGTGTCAATTGCTTAGCTCATACTTTCTTCTTATTATACTTATACAATTTACATCTTTGGTTATATCTTTTTTTTTTCTTTTATCCTCTTCACCACTGATCGGCTCGTTAGCCGCCCGGGCGATCAGTCACGTCTCTGTTACACACTGTTGGCAAATACTGGGCATGCACCGGCTCCTGAATGTACCTGAACCTGCTCCAGTGTTGGTCAAGTCTTCTCTTGAAAGAGCTCACACTCGGTGCCGTCACAACACTCTGGTAGATTGTTCCAAGAGTTCACAACTCTCACTCCGAAAAAGTTTGCCCTCACAGTTTTCTGGACTTGCGGCTTCTTCAATCTTGAGTTGTGACCCCTTGTGGGGCGAGCGTCCGCCAGCTCCAAGTAAGGACACTCGACTGAGTAGTGCCCCCTGAGATGCTTACACACCTCAACTAGGTCCCCCCTTGCCCGTCTGTAGTATAAGCTAGGCAAGTTCAGGCGCTCCAATCTCTCAGGGTAGCTGAGGTGCCGAAGTGCAGGCACCAGTATGGTGGCCCTCCTTTGAACATTTTCAACCAACTGACAGTCCCTAGCATATCTCGGGGACCAGACGGGGTGACAGTACTCCAGATGGGGAAGCACTTCACTCCTGAAGATCGTCACGAGGGACGGACCGTCTAGATATCTGAACGACCTTCTTATAAGACCCAATAATTTATTTGCCTGATTTACCTTCTTCTCACAATGGCCCGAGAACTTCAGCTCCATAATATTAGAAACCTTCCATATGAAGAAAGACTGAAAAGCTTAGGCGTACATTCATTAGAGAGGCGTAGAGTTAGGGGAGATATGATAGAGGTGTACAAGTGGGTAAGTGGGATTAACAAGGGTAAAATGGAAGATGTTCTGAAGCTCAGTAATAACGAAATAACTAGAACAAATGGCTTTAAATTAGATAAATTCCGATTCAGAAAGGATATAGGCAAGCACTGGTTTGGTAATAGAGTTGTGGATATGTGGAATAGACTACCGAGTGCTATAGTAGGATCGGGGACGCTAGGGAGCTTCAAGACGAAGTTGGATAGGCACATGGAAGTGCTGGGATGGGTGTGAAAGGGATCTGCCCTGTATGGGCCAGTCGGCCTCCTGCAGTATCCCACTTTCTTATGTTCTTATGTTCTTATATGATACGCCTCCTTACCGTTGGTACGCCCCAGGTGCATCCTCTTACACTTCGTGACATTGAATCTCAGCAGCCATTTCTTCGACCATTCCTGGAGCCCACAGAGGTCCTTCTGCAGCTCTTCACAGTACTGTACTGTACTTTTTAATTACCTTTATTCTCTTCACCACTGATCGGCTCGTTAGCCGCCCGGGCGATCGGCCACGTCTCTGTCACTCACTGTTGGCAAGTACTGGGCATGCACCGGCTCCTGAATTTACCTGAACCTGCTCCAGTGTTGGTCAAGTTTTGTCCTGAAAGAGCTCACACTCGGTGCCGTCACACTCTCTGGTAATACATTCAGGAACTGGTGCATGCCCAGTACTTGCCAACAGTGCGTAACAGAGACGTGACCGAGTACCCCAGCGGCTAACGAGCCTATCAGTGGTGAAGAGGATAAAAGTAAGTAAAAGTTCCGACCCTCCTCCATTCACCGCTTACCTAGCTTCTACCACTGGTTACCAGCGGCTAGGGTCGTATGTACAGAGCAGTATATATTTCACAAGTGTTGTCGAATTACCACTGGCTGTCCCGCCAGTCTCCAGTAATTCCCCGACAATCGGTATCAGTGAACAGACAAACAACAGGCAGGTGGATTTCCACCAGGTCACTGTAGTCGTCTTTAATAACAGTAATTCTTCACAACACTGTTAACAGTGAGACTGAATGTGAGAAGGACCAAGGTGTGTATGTTGACGATGAGCTGAAGTTCTCGGGCCATTGCGAGAAGAAGGTAAACCAGGCAAATAAATTATTGGGTCTTATAAGAAGGTCGTTCAGATACCTAGACGGTCCGTCCCTCGTAATGATTTTCAAGAGTGAAGTGCTTCCCCATCTGGAGTACTGTCACTCCGTCTGGTCCTCGAGATATGCTAGGGACTGTCAGTTGGTTGAAATGTTCAAAGGAGGGCCAACAGACTAGTGCCTGCACTTCGGCACCTCAGCTACCCTGAGAGATTGGAGCGCCTTAACTTGCCTAGCTTATACTACAGACGGGCAAGGGGCGACCTAATTCAGGTGTATAAACATCTCAAGTGGCACTACTCAGTAGAGTGTCCTTGGATCTGGCGGACGCTTGCCCCACAAGGGGTCACAGCTCAAGACTGAAGAAGCCGCAAGTCCAGAAAACTGTGAGAGCAAACTTTTTCGGAGTGAAAGTTGTGAACTCTTGGAACAATCTACCAGAAAGTGTTGTGACGGCACCGAGTGTGAGCTCTTTCAAGACCAGACTTGACCAACAATGGAGCAGGTTCAGGTACATTCAGGAACCGGTGCATGCCCAGTACTTGCCAACAGTGTGTAACAGAGACGTGACCGATCGCCCAAGCGGCTAACGAGCCGATCAGTGGTGAAGAGGATAAAAGTAAAAAGTAAATAGGTCATTCTTTATAAGTATCAAAAATAGATCTTCAGTTATCATTTACAACACTCAATAATTATACCTCCTAAGGGTATTATTACACAACAGTGACAATAGTGATGACCAGTAGCACAAAGTGATGGTATTGTAGTGGATACCTCCCCTACAAACGCTGTTTGTCGCTGAGTAGCCGACCTCGCGAATTCCCCAGTGTAAGCCTCAGGGTCTGGGTCAACCAGCGCCGCCTTACGTGACGGAGGTCGACTACTAAGCCGCGCCTACCTCCGCTATTTAAGACCTGACCTCGTGGTGACCGCTTTCTGTTCTACCTCCACCAACCAGCCAGCAACACCTCCTCCTCCTCCGCCGCTGCCTGGCGGCCCTCGCTCCCGCCGGCGAGCATGGCGACCCACAAGCTGGTCCTCCTCTGAGCATCCTCACCAACCAGCTCTCTCTACATCACGCTTGTAACCGTGCTGCCACTTCCCAGCACCAAGCTGCATTCTACATCCAATACAACATGTATACAGAGAGCACATTGTGAGTTTCCTGTATTACTTAGAACACCATGCTATTCCTTGATTAACATGGAAACATATACCATCACATCTCAGCTGTGAGTACAGTTGGTTAACACTCATATACATCACAAACAATAAGACTGGTGATACTAATATTTATGGTCACAATTTCATAGTCACAATAGCATGGCTAGTCTGTTTTATACTTAATTATTCATATTATGCTACATCGTCCACAAAACATGTGAACCTTTTGAGTCCCCCAGTTAAAGCGTTCGTTCTCTAATCATTTCAGGACGTCCTAGTTCCTCCGTTTTCTATATTTTAGTCTATCAGGGACTAAGGCATTTTTGAATACCTCATAGGGTGTTCACGAATTTGAAATTGAGAGATAACAGTAAAACACCATTGTTTTGCGTCAAATTAAATATGTCTCATTAGAGATGAAACATTCAAGATCCCTTGTGAGTGATGTTGAAAGCTTCAACTGTATTTACTGTTAGTGAAATTGTCAATATAAGCCAGGGTAGAGTCTACTATAAGAATGAGGTATCATCGTCGTCGTTCCTAGCAAAGACTATACGAAAGAGTGAAAGACGGAAAGCTACCATCTGTATCGATAAAAAAATGAGCTTTTTGATCTGCCTAGAAGCGCCATCAGTTCAGCCGACCTGTTACTGCACTAGAAATGTTTTAAATATGGTATTAGGCTTTTGATTTGATCAGAATTATTTAAAACACAATTTATATACATATATATATATATATATATATATATATATAAATTGATAATTAAAATTGTGGGCAGATAATCTGAGGTTCAAATGCGTGGATGCAGCAAGGAGGAGCACTTGTGGTGGTTTCCTGTGCTCAGTAGCCGACCCCACCAATTCCCCAGTGTATGCCTCGTGGCCTAGGTCAACCAGTGCCGCCATACATCACGGAGCGGGGGTCAACTACTAAGCCACGCCTACCCCCGCTATTTAAGACCTGACCTCGTGGTGACCTGTCTCTTTCTACCCACACCAACCAGCCAGTAACACCTCCTCCTCCAACGCTGCCTGGCTGCCCTCGCTCCTCCTCCGCCTGCCTGGTGGTCCTCTCTCCCGCCGGCGAGCATGGCAACCCACAAGCTGTCCTTCTCTGAGCGTCCTCACCAACCAGCTCTCTCTACATCACGCTTGTAACCACGCTGCCTTCCCAGCACCAAGCTGCATTGTACATCCAATACAACATGTATATAGAGAGCACATTGTGAGTTTCCTTTCTCCATCCCATCCTGAGTGAACACCAAACATCCCATTACCCCACAAATGGTGACCCCCGGAGATTCGCACTCACACAGGATGGAGGAGAAACCGATCACTCTCCCAGTCTTCAAGCAACATGGAAAACTGGCTTATCCCCACAGAAGCAGCTCTCATCGGTTCTACAACTACTGTCTCTACACCGCTGGTTAGACACCCTAGAGCAGCACTGCTTCTCTAAGCAGACACCAGCTCCTCTTCCTGCCCCAAGCACCATGTCCTACCGACCCCAGCACACCCGTCCTGCCTCAGACGCCGCCCCCGGCCCAACAGTAACCCCTGCCGCCGCGGCCCTGTTCCTGAGTGCGGACCCACACACCCCTCTTTTATCCCTCAGGTACTCCCTGCTAATGTCCTGCACCCTGCTGCTGTCGTGGGCCCAGCTGCTGTCACGAGCCCTCATCTGCTTCTGCTGACGCAGCCCCTGCTCCTGACCCAGGCCCACACACCCCAGCAGGCGCATCTGACGACTCTGTACCTGCCGTGAGGGAAGCACAACATTCATCGCCTCCACACACCCTTTTTCGCCCTCTCTACTCCCACGGATATTGCGTATCTAGACAGTTGTCTCCAGCGACCGGCTTACAAGTACCCCTAGGTCTCTTTCACAAGTCGACTTCTCTAGGTTGATGTTGTTAAGGCTGTATACATTATAAGTATTTGTTCTTCCAATATTAAGTACGCTGCACTTGCTGGTGTTGAATTTCATTTGCCATTTTTCAGACCACCCCTGCAGTTTATTTAGATCCTCCTGTAATGCATTTGCATCCTGCCCTGAATTAATTTGCCGCCCTATTTTGTGTCATCCGCAAACTTGCTTATGTCACTGCTGATCCCAGTATCTAAATCGTTTATGTAGATTATGAACAAAGTGGGCCTAGTACTGACCCTGGGGAACCCCACTGGTTACACGGCCCCACTCAGATTTAACACCATCTACGCTGACCCTCTGTGTTCTATCGGTGAGCCATGATTTTATCCAATTTAAGACTTTCCCCTCGATACCATGAGCCTTAATTTTTCTCAGAAGCCTCTGATGCGGTACTCTGTCAAATGCTTTGCTAAAGTCTAAGTAAATAACATCGTAATTTTCGTCATTATCTACTGCCTCGAAGACTTTCCTAAAAAACGTTAGCAGATTTGTTAGACAAGATTTTCCCTTTGTAAACCCATGTTGAGAGTCGTAGATTAATTTGCTTTTCTCTAGATGCGATCGGATGCTATCTGCTATAATTGATTCAAGAAATTTCCCCACTACTGATGTCAAACTGATCGGCCGGTAATTTGACGCTGATGCTCTGTCTCCCTTTTTGAATATGGGTACTACATTTGCCTGTTTCCACAACTCTGGCACAACTCCAGTGTCTAATGATTTTGTAAATAAGTTTACGAGGGGTCCGCTAATCTGTTCCCTACACTCTTTTAAGACTCGAGGAAAAATTTCATCCGGCCCTGGGGATTTTGTATTCTTTAGTTTACTTATCTTCTTAAGAACATCCTCTTTTCTGATAGTGATATTCTTTAATTTCTCTTCTTCCTTTCCCTTAAATATCAGTTCTACCTCCGGAATTTCATCACAAATTTCTTCTGTGAAAACAGATAAGAAGTAGCTGTTCAATGCTTTGCTTATTTCTTCACTGCCATTTATCACTTCTCCCCTCCCTGACTTTAAAGGCCCAACTTTGTCCTTGAACTTTGTCCTATATACCTGGAAAAATCCCTTGGGATTCGCCTTGGATTCTCTTGCCATTTTGATTTCATAGTCTCTCTTTGCTTTCCTTACATTTATCTTAACATTCCTAGATAGTTCATTATACCTGTTTCTGAGCTGCTCCTCCCCTCCCTTTAATTTCTTATATATTCCTTTCTTTATTCCTATGTCATGTTTAAGTTTTCTGGTCATCCACCTTGGCTCATTCTTATTTGACCTAATTTTTCTGTGTGGTATATTTTGTTCTTGTGCTTTATGTAGTATACTAGTGAATATATTATAGTCAAGATCAATTGTTGTGTCATCTATGACCTCACCCCTTCCTACTGGGAACTGACGTGACTGTTCCCAGCTGACCTCACCAAGGTACCTTCTTAACCCCTGATAATCCGCCAACCGAAAGTTTCGGACTCTGACCATATTGTCATTGTTTTTCGTTTCCCAATTTAAGGTGAACCTGATTTCTCTGATCACTGTTACCTAGTTCTTCCCCTACTGTGATATCTCTGATAATATTTTCTTTATTTGTTAATACTAGGTCTAATATATTGTCACCTCTAGTAGGTTCTGTAATTAGTTGTTTCAAAAAATTGTCCTGTACTGCGTCTAGGAAGTCTTCAGATTCATAGTCGCCTACAATGTTGTCCCAGTCAATATTTCTGAAGTTGAAATCCCCATAATGCATAGGTTGTTATATTTTGCTGCCCTACTCATTTCCTGCCCTACTTCTTTGCCAAGACTTGGGGGCCTGTAAATCACTCCCATAATTAGTTTTTCTCTTCCTTCCGTGATTTCTACCCACACAGACTCGGTTCCTATTTCACCCTTTATTGAATTATTAGTACAACATTTTAATGTATCCTTGACGAAGAGTGCGACCCCTCCCCCTTCCTACCTTCCCTGTCCTTGTGAAAAAGGTTGTACCCTTCTATGTGGTACTCTGATAAAAAAATTTTGCTCGCCAGATTCATCCAAGTTTCGGTGATTGCTATGACGTCTACATTCTCGGTACATACAACCGCTCTCAGCAAGTCTATTTTATTTCTAACGCTCCTACTGTTTGTATAGTATACATTTAAACCTACTCTTCCCTGGTCCTGTTTTACCCCTTGTCCTGAGCAACTAATTTTACTTCCCAGGACCTGCTTGTTTTTTGACTCCCACTTTCCCCGACCCCTCTCTACTGGCGAAACCCCCCCTTCGGAGTGACAATTTCACGCTCCAGGGATGCAGACAACGTCTTTACCCCCTCACGAGACAAGTGTACTCCGTCGCGACAGTACAGGTAGTCGTTGCCATAGAATCGTTGCCAGTTATCAATGAATGCCCAACCATTGTTTGCACAATGTTTTTCCAGTCGGCAATTTATAGCAATTGCCCTGGACAGCCATTCACGACCAACCCCTCTTCTAGGCAAGACACCACATACTATCGGGATCCCTCCCCTATCTCTAATCTTCCCCAGCGCCTCCCTATACCTCTTGAAAAGTTCCTCACTCCTAACCTTACCTATGTCGTTTCCTCCCACTCTAAGACACACTACTGGATTGGTACCCTCCCCTGACAAAACCCTGTCTAACCTCTCGGCTACATGCCCTATCCCAGCCCCAGGAAAACACACCCTAGTCCTACGTTTCCTATCTCTCGCACAAAAAGCCCTGTCTATAAACCTCACACTTGCAGAGCAGTTCACCATCGTATGTTATCTTCCTACACAACTATTTTGTTTTAGAATAACTGGTCTCATTACAGTATTCAGGGAAGAAAAAATAATATTAAGTTTTAAAGAGACCGTCAGGTAGCGGCTTAAAGTAGAACATAAATTGATTTCAAGAGGGCGATGAATTTTCGAACAAGTTGCTAAATGAAACAATTCGTTTTCGTCTCGCTGTAAATGAGTGGAACGCAAAGTCTGTCAATATATCTAATCTAATCTAATCTTTCTTCAAAACACAGCACTCTTCGATTGGGAATGGTAAAGCTCAGAATCTAGTCTTTGTGTGTAGTCTGAGTAAGATCCAATGAGAAGGCAGGGAGGCAGGTGTAGGAGGACAAACGAGGTTGAGCGTGCGCATCCTACTGTGCGAGAGAGGTTGCGCTGGTGAGTACTGAGTCGTCCACGCCAGTCTGATATTGATTCTCATAGGAGGTGAAAGATTGGTGGTGCGTCCCGTGCTAGGGAGTCGACACTCCTCTAACTCAGCCCACACGCTTTAAGCGGACAGTAACACAAACAGGTAAGGTTTTATTTATTGGAACTGAGTTAAGCTTGACGTTGTTAGCGATTTCAAATTGGCAATTCCAGTCCCCCAAGTTGTCACCTACACAAATTTTCTGGTATTTTACTCGTTTTTGTAACCCAGCACCGGCTACCTATCTGCGTGATGTGCTATTATTCAGTATATTTCGGCTTTGTTAATTGTCTTGACACAAACGTTAGCTGTCGTGTAAGTATTATAAGCATTTACACTGCACAACGCCGCCATGACTGTTAAGAGACATTCTGACGCATGACTCCAGCACGAACAAATATTTCCTATGGATTTACGGCCCAGTTACCTCTCAAGTACACGAACTTACTGCACTTCAAGTCCGCTACGTGGTCACTGTTTATAGAACCAGGTTTGAAGATACGATGTGCGAAGCTTTTATCCTTCAATGTGCAACGTCTGCGAAACTAGGCAACTTTACCAATGAGCTTTCCGTCTCCTCCGGAGCAATAAATTAAGAGCTTAAGAGATAAATTAACATCTTCGTGAAACATAATAACTACAGTATCAACACAAAACAGTTTAGTACATACTGAATTTTAGTCTATTTATACAGACATTGGTTAAAGATTACAAAAAGATAAAAAAGTGTTCATGTACGATCTGGTTTCATTAAAATGTAAATCGGCTTCAGAATATAAACCACCACCAGCTGATGTAATAGTGTAAAATATGAGTTTTTATCGTTCAGGTGGGCAGAATAATAATGAATGTATGTACACACATTAGTAGGTTTCCTATAAATACTGAACTTAGAGGTGTTACCTATTCTGTGGATCAGACAGTCTAGGAAAGGCAATTTACAGTCATGCTTTAATTCCACAGTGAATTTGATCGAGGGGGCTAAGTTAATAAGTTGTGGCAGGAAAGCTTTTAGGTCCTCATTACATGGCCAGAGACAAAATACATCATCTACATATCGAAACAATTATTATTCTGCCCACCATAATAGAGTCAAACAGTCAGTATTTTCATCAATGTTTTTACGTGTTTTGAGAATTTGCAGTCCTGAATTCATTGATGAGGAATATAAATATATCTATAATATTGGCTTGAACCTTAAGTACCCTAGATCTTTTATAGACAAATGCCTTAACATTACTAAGAAATTTTTATAGAACCGATCCCAAGCCCACCCATGACCATAAGAATCTCTTAGTATTACCATTTCACAAAAATTTCTCTCAAATTCCTTTACAACTAAATACCTGGAACGTCAATGTGGCAATTAAAAACTCATGCACTGTTAAACAAATGTTAATCAAGAACTCCCCCAACAATGCAGGCTGCTGCATTTACAAGGTTCCTTGTAAGGAATGTAATATGTTTTACTTAGGCCAGACAGGTAAAGATCTTGTAACTAGACTTAAACAACATATAGTGTTAGGACAGGCCAGGAATCCAATGCTCTGTTTGTTCATTTGAGGGAAAATAAGCATTGCATTGACTGGGACAATGCCTCCTCAATATTACCTTGTAATTCAATTGACAGTAGGAACATTATAGAATCCAGTCTCATTAAACATACCGAATCCGTTAACATGAATTTGAGTAATGGTATGTACAAACTGGATAATTTCGTAATTAAGAAGATTTGTAACCAGGTGAGAAGGTTGGGTCATCTTACCCTCTGACCTGACTACAGACTGTTGCTGTGCTTATGAAGATTAGTAGGGTCACCGCCTAGTGACCGGACCGGTGGCGGCTCGTGACAAATTCATTGGGGTGCTACTTCAAAACATTTTTAAGAATTGTTTTAATATTGTGTAAGATACACACACAGAAACACAGTAGGTATATATATATATATATATATATATATATATATATATATATATATATATATATATATATATATATATATATATATATATATATACACACAAGTAAATCACTGTAGGTGCGCGTGATCTAGGTATATGCTGATAACCACAAGGAAAGAAGAAAACACGAAGTTCCCAAGCGCTTTCGTGTAATTCACATCTTCAGGGGTGAGTACAGACTAGAGAGAGAAATACAAACCAAGGTGTATATATACAGAGGAGGGTGAGACCAGGTCCAGATAAAAATAATAATAATAACAACAGCACTAATAATAATAATATTTATAATAATAATGTAAGAGCCTTCCCGGCGTTTAAAGGTTAATCAGACTCTTCACGTTAAACTCGAACGTCATAATTGGGTCAAACCTGTTGAATACAATTCATTTTAGTATTTCAAATAAATCATACATGGGCAATCATACATAAATGTTTAATCCAATATATATTTACATAACAATCATAGCTATGTAATTAGTCTAATCTTAACACTTACAATGAGTACTTAATTTGCCATATTTTTATGTTGTCACAATGATAAACGATGCAATGGACACAGTCTACCCGTGTAAACAACAAGTACAAATTAAACTTACGTGTTGAAAGTCTCAGGAGAAACAGGTTAGGTGTTGGCTCTATGATGGGGATAGCCGGACTGGCGGTATCCCTGCCTGGCATCACATGTCCAGCCCGGCTGGCCAAACTCGCTGGTCAGGCGTGTTATACGCAAACAAGCTCCCCTTACACCACCCAACACCTCAACCCACTCTGGGTCTCTCCATCTCCACCATCTCAACACTGTATACCCATTACTGCTTGCGGTAACAAATAACAACAATATTAATAATAATGGAAGACATACATAATTGAAAAGGGCCCTCCTTTGAACATTTTCAACCAACTGACAGTCCCTAGCATATCTCGGGGACCAGACGGGGTGACAGTACTCCAGATGGGGAAGCACTTCACTCTTGAAGATCGTTACGAGGGACGGATCGTCTAGATATCTGAACGACCTTCTTATAAGACCTAATAATTTATTTGCCTGATTTACCTTCATCTCCCAATGGCCCGAGAACTTCAGCTCATTGTCAACATACACACCTAGGTCCTTCTCACATTGTCATAAATAGTGCATTTTCTTCAACCAGTTGGGACATGATACGCCTCCTTAACACTAGTACACCCCAGGTGCATCCTCTTACACTTCGTGATATTGAATCTCAGCAGCCATTTCTTCGACCATTCTTGGAGCTCACAGAGATCCTTCTGCAGCTCTCCACAGTTCGCTTGGTTCTTGATTTCCCGAAATAACTTGGCGTCATCGGCAAACATTTGAATGGAGGAGTGTACAGTACAACGTCTGGCATGTCATTTATGAAACAAACAAACAACAGCGAGCCCAATACACTGCCCTGTGGTACCCAGCTTGTGACAGGTACGGATGATGATTTCGTGCTATTAATCACCACACACTGCTTGCGGTCATGTAGAAAGTCTTCTATCCACGCTAGGACATTTCCCAGAATTCCGTACCCTTCCAGTTTAATTTTAGCCTTTCGTGGGGTACACTGTCGAAAGCCTTAGCAAAATCTAGAGACGTATTGTCGATATTACCATCCCGTTCCAGAGTATAGCTGCCTACTACCTACTACCCAACAACAACTCTTAGGAAATATAAGATCACAGTTTAACATAAGACTTCAAGCTTATCAAAAGAAAAGGACTAGTAACAACTGTAGCACCATCACATAATGGGAACACCACAGCCGATTACAATGGCAACACGTGGTAACAATACGTTATATCCACAATAATATTAAATCACGACATTGAGGATTTACAGTTTGTATATGAAGGCTATTTCTCTGTTTTCTTAATAAAATTCACCTTAGAAAAGGACGCTTTGCATCAACATTGGACATCAGAAGTGACAATACTCCCATTGCAAATGTCCAAAACATTCATATTTTGCATCTCTCTCTTCATTTAAAATGCTCATAACATATTTATAAAATTGCTGGCTCCTTTGGGGTGTAAATATGCCGCCAGTCTCCACAAGATAAGTCACATCCGTCTGTCCGGAAGTTCGTATCCTGTACTGGATATCGAGTCCGATTCTACCACACTCACGATTGTAATTTAATAAATTATCATAATGGCAGCACGAATGATGATAATCCTTCCCATCTCCGTTTTTCACCCAGTCTTAATATTCAAAGTTCACTAAAGGGGTTCAGGGGTTCGAAGCTTTAAATATGGCCAGTAAACCTTCTCAATATCCTCTGATTGCAGCCCACCAAAGCCTGCCTGTCTAGCCAAGCTGAGGATATCCCTATTCACAGCTGGGACTAAGTCCGTGAATCCCGTAAAGCTGTTGACCCACTCGGGCCACAGTTTACGCCACACACCATTCAGGCAACTTTCTGGAACCTCTTCCCTTGCCTTGCCAATGTTGTCAATTGCATGAAGAATGTTTAAGCCTCGCCAATATTCTCGGATCGTTGGTTTATTTTCTCTGTAGCTTTGAACATCTGGGCCATGGTACGGCATAAATAATAAGCCTTGATTGTGGAGATGACGCCTTGGTCCATAGGCTGCATCAGTGCTGTTATGTTGGGAGGCAGGAACACAACTTTTACACTGTTGCGCAAGTCGTCGAGATTGGGAGGATGAGCTGGAGCATTGTCAAGGATCAAAAGAATTTTGAAGTTAAGGTTCTCCTTGGCACAGTATTCCTTCAGTGCAGGGACGGTGTACATGTTCAGCCACTGGCTAAATATGGCGCAGGTTATCCATGCCTTCTTATTTGCCTTGTAGATGACAGGAAGGTGATCCTTTGAGTAACCTTCCAGGGCCCGTGGGTTGTCAGTGTGCGAAATCGGCATAGGCTTCAGCTTGAAGTCACCTGCAGCGTTCGCGCCAAGTAGCAGCTCGCTGAGCCGAGAGAGCGTAGCGTTGCCAGACAAGATCTGGTGATGAGCCGTAAAAAGTAGTCAGTGACGACGCAAAACGACTTAGTATCGGATCCCTGGGACGTTAAACGAATTTTTGGTCTCTGAAGTTCAGGACGTAGTAACGAACAATGTTAAGTGGGGCGACGTTAACCAAGGACTTGCTGTACAACACACATCTTAATATATTAATGGTATATAACGATACAAATATACCCATAATGTCATGATATATTTTGTTGATGTGTGGAAGTCATATGTAGTTATTAGCAACCGCCTTAATATACTTTTGGTTTGATCACTTTAGTGAAATTGGTTTTCACTCTGACCTTTTCCTTTCATAGTTTTATCATCCTTTACTATTGATCTTCTGTTCATTTTATTCCCAGAGTCACTTTATGCTGTTGCTTTACCTAGAGTCATTTAACCTCTAGTGCTGTCACAGAGCTAGTTTACCATTACTGCTATTTCCAGAGACCACTTCAATTGTTACTGCTTTTTTCAGAGGAAGAAAAACCAATAGTGCTGTTCCACAAGGCAATTAAATCTTTACTGTTAAGTGCCTCTGGGAACAGCAGTGGTGGTTTAACTGGCTCTGGAAAAAAAATTCCCAGAGCCAGGAAAACCACTACTGTTGTTCCTCGTTAATTAACCACTGTCTTTGTTCTAACATGTTAACATCTCTAACATTACCTCCGTCCCCATTCAACTCTCGACTACTTCAGGTGATTTTCTCTTTTTTTTCAGATGATGGTGGCCGTGAGGTTCCACGGGCGGCGGGTGGTGGTGTGTCTGTTGCTAGTGGTGGCCGCGTTAGGTGTCTACCATCTCCTGGCCATCAACTCCCTTGCAGACGTCAGCAACCGTTTTCTACTCAGGTGAGACCAAATTATGATCAGATGGGACTAGGTTCTGCTCAGGTGAGACCAGGTTCTACTAAATTTAGTTCTGTCAAACAGAGAAAACCTCATTAGTAATGCCGACGTAAGGAGCGAACCAGCTAACAGCTATCACAAGGAAGTGAGATTTAAAATAGGACAATGTCAGTTGCAAGGAAAATGCCAATAACGTCCAAGATTTCAGAAAAGACAGCTGAGGTAAGAATTGTCACGTTTGGGGGTGATTATGTGACCTCACAAGAGGGTGTAAATAACGGGACCTCGCATAATGTGACTGATGATAATGAGGTAAAGTGGCAAATGACTTTGCCGTGAAAGAGGGGAGGAAAGAGAGAAATAAAGAATAAAATTGGGAAGTAAAGTAATAGGGAGTAATACCAGGTGGGCTCCACCTACAAGTAGCTTAGTTGAACTGAATGGGTGTTGGGGGGGGGGGGGGCGCACGCAGCACGCGCCTGCTCGCTCAAGGGAGGGGAATCCAAACTATCTAGGAATTCAGTAGTTTAATGTATGTTAATTTATGCTAGTTAAGTGGTGGTGTTATTATTCATATATATGAATAAAGTGGGTATTGTTCTTGGGCCACCAGCTGTGTGTTCTTGTGGTTTCTTTGGGAGAAGATTGGGTCCTCCAACTCTTCAAGGTTTGCTCCAACTCTCCGAGCTTGGCTGTGTGTACGTGTGTTTAGTGGTTCGATATTCTTTAGTTCATGAAGTTCTTGTATTTTATTAGTGTGTTTGGGGGAAGTTGCTTTTGATGCTCTACATATAGCATTGTTTTGTACTGCTTGAAGTTTAAGTTGACTGGTTCTGCTGATCGTGCTGAATGGTATTGGTGGGTATTCCAGGTGGGGACGGACAAGTGCTTTGAAGAGGTCTCCATTTTGGTGAATCTTTGAAGTTTTGTGAGTTGTGATTGGGCGAGCATCTTACGTTTTGTAATGCCTGTTCTTGCTATTGAGGTCCAGTACTTTGCCTTCCTTGGAGTATTGTCTATGTTCGTTGTTATCTGTGATTGGTGATGTTGTTGTTGTTTTGGCAGTGTGAATGATCTTTAGTTTCTGCACATTAGTTTGAATTTTCCACTTTTTTTTCTTTATAATTGTTTATTTTCTCGATGGCGTGGGCTGTTTTTCGTGCCATCATCTGTGTAAAAGCCTTAGTTAAGGACGTTCAGGTGACGGGCAAGTCGAAGGGAATGATTGAAACCCGTCTTTTGACGCATTCAATATTTATTGATGTGGTGAAAACCTGCAGACAAAAAGACGTTCCTTAGTATTACAGGGTGATCTATCTGATACATAGTTAGTCTCACACCATTTATCTAAATTATAATTGATTATTGAGCATAATGACATGATACAAAGTTCATAACTCTAACCCTCCCAGCCGCCACATCTGTCGAGGTAACAGGTCGCGTGGTGGGAGGGGCGGGGCATCACACTAGAGGGCGATCTGCGTCATGAGAGCCACGCCACCCTGTCAGCGCTCATTACCAGTGGTGAGGAAACTCCCGGTGGAAAACACCGTCCCCCCCTTCCAGCCGTCACATCTGGCGTGGTAACAGGCCACGTGGTGGGGGGGGGGGGCATGTTTTGTTCGGGTAAGGCAGCAAAACGTCAGCACTGACACCAGTGAAATAATAAGCTAGGGACGATAACAATCTGTTTGGCCTTGCCTGGATGTCAGATGATGTGGGTAACGTCATCGGCATAGACTATGTATTCTCCGCATGTTCTCTATTCTCCTTAATTTCATTTGTCCTGTTTGTACAAAGTTTATTCTTGGTCGAAGTGTCTTTTGCTAGTTACAGCTTTCAAGCTCAACACACACATAGAACCTAGTGCCTTTCACTTCGAGCATGTTTTTCAAATAATTCTGAACAGTCCTTCCATTTAGAAAATCCCACATGAATCTCGCCTCCTTGGAGAGCAAGACAGCCCTTGGGAAGGGCAAGCTAGGTTCTGGAGGGGGCAAGACAGTTATTGGGAGGGGGAGTGCCTCCTCCCTCCCAAATGACGCCCTGCTTTGTAGATGCTGGAGTATGAATTTGTTTATTTTACTGATGCCTGGAGCTTTGTTCTTAAACTGTTTATTGTTCTGTGCATGTCGTCTGCGGTGATAGTTTGATCAGTGGGGATAGATCGTCCAGAGTGTTTGTCTATATTGGGACTCGGTTGCCAGATGTGGGTCGTGTGTGTGTCATGTGATTGGTTACTTGTCGCTCGGTGTTCATACAGAAGTTCAGGTTTTCTTGGTGACTTATTTGAAATATTTTGCTCCAGTATTTCCTGAATTCAGGTTCTTGGTCTTTGGGTTCGGTTAATTTGATTTGGTTGCTGTTTAGAATGTAGTTTGATTCGTTGCTGGAGGTTCCCATTAAGTGTTTAATTTTCCTCCAGAATTGTTTCGGGTTGTGGTAATTTGCTTCTGTTATTAGTTTCTCCCAGTTATTCAAATATGTTTCTTTGGACATGTTTCTTGGTTGTTCGTGTATGGTGTTATTTTGATGGCCAGAAAGTTTTCTTGAAATGAGTCGTGTATCTTGTGTTGTATGTTTCGTTTGATGGCTATGGCAATTCCATCATGTAGTGTGTCTTGACTGTTTTTTTTTATGTAGACTGTGCAGTTAAATATTGTCCATCTTTGCTGACCGGTGTTCCCCTGAAACCCTCCTGTCAGGCAGTAGACCCAAGCGGATTTGTTATAATCATTTATTCACAGATGTCCATCGTGACTTAGGTTGTAACAAAGAGGGGGTTTCACTTCAAATTCATTCTCATTAATACAACATCTTAAATATATTGCAACATGGAAACTATGCAGAATTTGACATTTTACCATAGAGACATTGTGGTTTAGAATTATTCAAGGATTCCATCCTCCAATTTAATGTACTCTTTGCTGAATCACCCTGTATAGTAATGCATATCTAAAATATACATACTGTATAAAAAATATATAATTGAAGTGTAAATACAGTAGGATATATCTAAAGTATGCATATAAAAAGGTAGATGTAAAATATACAGCATTATATAGAAGTAAATATCTGAAGTGTACTGTACATCAACCACAAAAGTCCTGTCACGAACCATGAACCCCGAGATTCAGACTTGAATCCGAAGCATTTATGGACAGAATAATGTATCAGTGTCTACTGCTTCGGGTTCACGAGTCTGATCCTCGGGGTTCGTGGTTCGCGACAGGACTTTTTTTGGGTGACTATATATAAAGAAGTCCACATTTAGGGGGTACTGTATAATTTGTGTACAGTCCCGCCAAAAAGTATCGTTACTCAAGGGGTCGAGATGAGTCGTGGTTTTGTGAGTAGTGTTAGTCCATTACTTTCGGAACGGTTGGTGCAGTCGACCACAGGTTTTGGTATACAGTTTCTCTATGTAGAAGAATCTTCTGGTAAGAATTTTGTCAAAGAACTGACAATTTTAGAATGACCAGTAATTTGTTTAATTCCTGCAGGTATTTTATAAATGCATATGTTGTGTATATTTGAATACTGTAACTGATATGTGGAACATGCATACCAACATATGATGTTGAACTGGAGAATATATCGAACCAAAATCCAGTGTTTCAACTTGTAAAGACAAAACCAGTAACGATATTTTTTTCTTTTTTTGGGGGGGGGGACTGGACATGGAATAGTATATATTGTATCTGAAATGTAAATACAGCACAACTGTCCATCAACGGTCAGCATGACAATTTCTTATCAAAAGTCAGCATGATTCAACTTTTTCTAAGAATCAGTATGACATAACTTCTTATAAAAATCAGCATGCCACAATTTATCAAAAGTCAGCATGATACAACTTCTAAAAGTCAGCATGACGAAAGGTACCGCCAAAGGTTAGCATGTCTGTTTCTAAGTTACTCTTGTATTAGTCATTTCACTGTAAATGAGAAAAAAGCTTGTAATATTTTCCAAAGTGCCGTGTACTGTAGTCCTTGATCTTGTTACTTCACTTCCCCCAAACACTATTAAATGACTTTCCTATTACTGGGATTGCCCGCATGACAGAAGCTGGCATCAAGGTGTCAGGAACAACGTCTAATTTATTTATTGTGATGAACGACTTCCACAATAAACTGATAAGTGTGTTTATACCGTCCCTAAAGTCTCGAGCCAATATTGGGGTCTGGGGATTTATTTGTTTTGTAGTCAAATATTTTCTTTGTTACTAGTCACTTTACATAACTTCCCTCTAAAAACAGTAGCTGCCTCGGGAACCACATCTATATCTTCTCTGGAGAAAACTGAACATAAGCACTTATTTAAAACATCGTTCATTTCTCTTCGTTATCAGTAAGCTGATCTGACACTGTAGTTTTTTTTCACAGGCATTTGTTTGAGATATTTTGGAGAAATATTTAGGAATTGTCTTGGCTCCCCAGCTCCTCTAACCTTAGTTCATTTTTGCTTTACTTATGTTTTTTGACACTTCTGCTTGATTCATCAAAACTAATTTGTTGTTGAAAGTTTCTTAGATTGATTTTACTTTGTTTTCAAGTATTGTGTGAATCGTTTTTTGAAATATTTTGTTATTCATCTACTGTGTACTCTGGCATCAAGTTCGTGACTTAACCACCATTTAAAAAAACCGATAACACATTTGTTGTCCCTCAGGATTGTTTGAAAACGTCATTCAGTGTACAAAAACTCGTCTGCCTCTCTGACGACCAGTGTTGTGGACGTCGCAGATTAACCAAGGGTACTTAAGCTTTGCCTAGCAATTTCCTGGCTGACTATTCATTGACTGAAAGCTTGGGTAACGGACAAGACTCACTTGAATTCTCATCAAGTGAGGGGATCGTTACATTATCCCCAGCGTCCACCTCAAGGCAAGCATCACTAGCATACAGGCGATGGTTAGCTGATGTTAATTATGCTGGGCTGGTCTTTGTGTACGGAAGTCTGATGACCAACTGCTAAAACATATCCTATATTTCCAATTCGGT